GACCAAGACTTGTGCCAAATAATGGTAGTTAGTGAAAGATGATCTGAAGATCTACCCTCCTTTCCTAAACACTCACATGACAGAGTTTTAGGGATGGAAAGTATCTTTAGAAGTTTATTTAGTTGGACTGTCTTCCTCTATATTTGACAAGTAATAAATATTGTGGAAAGAAAAGATTCTGCCCTGTTTTGAAAAATATTTCCCCCGTACCTGTTTCCATCTTTAATGCTAGGATTTGATAACAAGATCAAGAAAGTTTTTCCTTTTATCCATGTTAGTCTCTTAGTTTTTATAGTAGAAATTGAAACTGTGTAGTTATTATCATTTGTGAAGATCGCTTCTTAGGTCAATCTAAAATCTTTCAAAAATATGTATCCTGAAATTTGTCTCTCAGATGAACAGTTATAACACTTAAACTTTTCTAACTGGTATAATTTCCTAGCTTTAATAATAATAACAACAACAATTAAAATAATAATCTATTTATTTTCTACTATTCCAGATAGATGTCAGGCAGTGAATAGGAATTTTAATAATTCTTGAGCATCTACTTTATACTAGGTGTTCTGTATACTTTATTTCATTTACTTTTTACAGCAGCCCTTTATGGGAACTGCTATGTCCACTTCATTGATTAGGAAATTGAGGCTTAGAGAGATAAGTAGATTTTCCAAGGCTATATAACTGGTAAGTGTCAGATCCAGAATTTGAACACGGATTTCTCTGACTCCTTCGGCTGTGCTTTCCACACTTACACCTGCTGCCTCCCATCCAGGACTTTTGCTGATGGCGATCCCAATGATTATAGAACTGTGCTGCCCAATGTGGTAGCCACTAGCCGTGTGCAGTATTTAAATTTACATTAATGAAATTAAAATTCAGTTCCTCAGTTGCACTAGCCCACATTTTAAGTGCTCAGTAACCACATGTGGCTAGTGACTACTACCAGACTGGGCAGCACAGATACAGAACATTTCTATCATCACGGAAAGTTCTATTGGAGTATGCTATTATAGAGTTTCAAGTTACCTCTAATTTCAACTAGCTCCATTCAGAAATAAACTTTCTTTTTAGAGACCAGCCTATCTCCCTGGAAACTGAGGCTCCCTGCATCCCCAGGGCTAAGGGTAATGTGGGGCTATGCAGGGTTCTGTGGCTTCTGTCAAAATTGCAGGAGGGGGTGCGGAAGAGACAGAAGCATTAGCTGTATTAGCTATCTCATCATGCCAACACTGTTTTAAATGGACTTTCCTAGAGACTTACTGGAAAGATCTCTTACACCTTAATTTCTTTACTCAAGGAAATTTCTTAATTTCTTTTCTCCTCAAAATTTGTTGCCTCCTCTTCTTCAAATTACGCTATATTATCTGGCATATCATCTTTATTTTCCTTTCCTTGTAAACTCCCTCAGTGTGCATTTTTTGTTAACATTAATTTGGCATCTTTCTCTTCTGTTGCACTTCCCCAGCTCTGGTCTGTACACGGATCTCAAAGAGTTCCTATCCACTTTCTGGTTGATGGGCTCTTGTCTTTAGTGACAAGGATCTAAAGTATGTCTTGACCCAAAGTAAAATTTTTAGTTGACTATTAGCTAAACTTCTAAGGAGATTTTCTAAGGAAATTGAATGGACTTAAAATTTTTTTAAACTTATTTTTTATTTTATTTAATTCACAGAAAATATCTGCAATTTTTTAAATGCAGGAATCTTTAAAATGAAACAAGAAATGTACTTTGCTAATAGTGATAAAACATTTGGCAATGATTTTAAATTCAGAATCCTTGCAGGTCTGTTTTTCCTGAGTACTTTTATTCCTGATTAAGTTCTCACTTTGAATGAAAGGAAATAGACACTGGATGTATTCAACTGATCTTTCATTTCACAACTAGATGTCAGTGTTAACATACCTGATTAGATGTCTCAGGTGTGATTATAATGAGGTAATTCAAATAATTACTCACCTATATGACATACAGATCAGAAAATAAATGATAAAGAAGGAAAAGAAGAAAAAATAGGCTACTTTTCTTATTTCAAAGTGGGCTGGTTAATTCTGTATTTATGGTTTTTAAATATTAATTTTTTCCCCACCTTAATAACTATGCATGAAAAATTAAACTTTTTGATTTATTTGGTTAGAAAAGGCAGATAGAGTGTGAACTTGTACCTTTTCACTACTACCAGAAGTTCTTCTCTACAACCTTTCCAGAAAGAGTGATCAGAAAAAGAAGGAAAATTATTGCTATTCAAATGTGGTTTGTATGTGCATATGTGTGTTTCTTGCTTGCTTTAATGAGAAACATATTTGAGAGCATGAATTATGCATGTATTGTCAGTGACGTTCCTAACATCTCACCTAGAAGTCTCTTGATATAACTAAATCTCCTTTTTTAGTTCAGTCCTCATATAAATGGGAGCGTAATACCCTTTATCCTTCCCTTGTAGATCCAATCTGACAACCGTTTAACATTATTTATATTGCATTTCTCTAACTAGAGTGTCTTACCTTTTATTCCTATGCTTCCTGTTGATAAATATGCAATCCAGAATAATAACTGAAATGTCATGAATAAAACCCAGGTAAAGCAATAGATCAAAGTACTGGAAACACATCCCCTCCACCTCCCCCAAAAGATCCTAATGGGTCCCCTCTCCCCAGTTCTCTCTCCCCTTTGAGAATTACTCCTGGATACTTAAGTGATGGAACTCAGGCAAAATTCTGTTGAGTTGTATTCACTTTGATATTTTTAGTTAAACATTTTCAAAATCTGTGTATGCAGCTTAACAAAGACTTTTGGAGGCTACAGATTTAAAGTGTACAGTAGGAAATATCAGGACAACCTGTCTTTGGAGTTCGGTGTAAGATTTTGATGGAACTGATAGGCTTGCTTTTTAAAATTGTTATTTATAAGTTTAACTTTTTCTTTGGAAACATACCCATACCCCAAAACAATTCTGTTTTGAAAAGGCAAGTTGAATTAGTGTCAGTAATATCTTAGGACGTCCATTTCTCATCATAGAAATAACTTTTTAGATCATGCAGTAGATCCTGAGTAATAATCTAAAATATGTGCAAATAGTGCGTTTGTTTATTGACTTTAAAAATCTGTTGTTTCCTGAGAAAGAATTTTCGGTTCATCAGTTCTTGGATTGCCACATAAAACGCTCATTTGGCAGTTGATCTTTGTCGGTTTGTATGTCTTCCAGGCACATAATACAAGAACATAAAATTAGTTATTGATTATGGTACAGATTTGGCACATTACTGGATTTTCAATTAGCCTGAAAAAAGAGAAAAGTCATATTAACCCATGCCAGGCAATCCCAGTTTGCTGCATACATAATAGAAATGCAAGCAGGCTACATCATGCTATTATAACATGTCTTACTTAGCAAAACAACAAAATAGTTCAATGACGTTTATTTACTTCTGAGCTCTCTTACAATGATTAGTAGTTGCTTAGTTCCTGACCTGGATTACAACAGGTTTGTGATTTTGCGAAGTGACCCTTATATTCTAATTTTTTGTTGTTGTTGTTTAAAAGCCTTCTTGATTTATGTTTAGATCTCTTTGATGCCTTTGACAAAGATAATTTATAACAAATTTATTTTATGCTAATGCAAGTAACTAGTTATTGAATTTAAACTGAATTGGAGGCAGCTACCTATAATATTACTAATTGGACCTCAAAGTTTCTAGTGACCTATGTAGAAGGCAGCAGGATACCTAGGAGATGACTGGTCTTAGCCGAGTGTCTTGAGCCTAGTAGGCACTTGGTATATATTTACTTAGAGACGTCTATGCCCTTGTTTTCTCTGCGGCATCATCTCTTCCAGGCCTCCGTGCATGGTTGTGATTGTTTTCTGAGTGTGTGTGAGCCTTCCTCCTTGCCCCATCTTCTCTGATCTGCTAAGGTGCCTGCAACGTGAGCCCTAGCTTCTCACGTCCTAATTTTTTTGTGTGTGTGTCATTTTTTGATATTTGGGCTAAGCTAAGCTAACTATTAACAGTGAATGGTTATTAAAAAAATAATTATTTGGAGCTACTATGTGATTTGGTAGTATTTTCTCTGATGATTTTCCTAAGCAGTCTCAAATACTTTTATTTTTAAAACTCGACACATTTTCTCCTGATTTGGGGACAGGGCGTATACTTGTATGTGTTTTGGGGAAGAAGTACAAGGAGGGTGGTAATTGCAAAATATAACAGCAGCTACACTGACATAGTTCAAACTTTGACTGCCATTTAAAGACTATGGCAAAATTCTCTGAATCTGAAAGCAGGTTGAAAATGCTTTTCTTAGCAGCAAGACAGAGGGCAGTGAAGACACGCCCTGGTAATTATTTCCCTCACTCTTCTCACGTTCTCTCCTGCTTTGTCAAAATTGTTAACTTTTGGTTTGCGAACTTTTTATATTTGGATACCGATTCATTGTTTCCCTCATTTAAAAACTTTCCTAAACTTTGAATGGGTGAATTTTGTGGTGTGTGAATTATATATGACTAAAGCGGCTAATAAAAAAAAAGTACTTAACCAAAAAGCATTTCAAGTGGTGTTGGGAAACAGCTTTGTAATAACAACAGAAAGAGGAACCAAGGGTACTTATTTATTTATAAAGAGTTGCAAGTGATATGGCTTTTAAGAATATACTTCACTTTGCTATTTTTGATTTGTTTTAACTTAGGAAAACTTGCTGTTTAACTCGTAAGCATATATCTTAACGGAGAGAGGAAAGCAAATATATAAGATAATGGCTAAAACATTGGAATCTTATTTTTAGCATTGGAATGCTGTTAGAGAGATGAACCAGAAGTACATAAGTGCTCCACTTCACGCCTGTCTCCTCCCGGCCTGGTCATCGCTGACAGTCTGAGATCTGGCCAGATAACTGAGGAAGTGAGGGAATGTACTCGGAAATTCTGTTGTTTTTCATCCTCTCTATAATGAACAAACTGACATTGAGGACTTTTCTTTTTGAGGTGTTCCACTTATCATTACAGAAAGCTGCGTACCTGCAGAGGTGGTGGCTGCCGTTGATGTCAACACCGTCGCTAATGAAGTCTACAGGTACAATTTCCCTCACACGCGGTTACTGGCCAAGACCATTGAAGTGAGTAACGATTATTATTGTTTTAATAAGTGTAGAGCAAAGAAAATGTGATCGAAAAGCACTGTAAGATACTGGTTTTTGGTGTCTTAATTGGAAAATAAATCATATGTAAATGAAAAAGTTTAGGAAAAGGAAATTAACATTTTATATTCTATCAGAAGATAGCATGGTATTTTTTTTTTTTTTTTCAGCTTGAGAGAGAGAGAGATCGATATTTTGGTGTCTGAGAGAAAGGATTGAATATAAGAATATGCTTGACTTCTCTAAATGCTTGGTTCTATAATGGTATTAAGCTTTAATTCTCTACTTTTAAGCAATACTCATGTACAATAGGTTTAGCAGGTGAAGACAAGAGAGGCACTCATTGGCTATTACTTATTGAGTGCTTCTTATTTTAGCGAGCCTGTCAAGTTAAAGGTAATATTTCATCCTTAATTACCTCAGTAGAGGTATTTAACATTGAGGTACATTGAGTTATTTTAAAAATAATGTGCAATTGTGTTGTTTCCTCCCAATTTCTTGTCATGAAAAATTTTACGCACAAATTTCTCATGAAGCCGTAATTTATATACAATAAACTGCAGCCATTTTAAGTGTACAGTTTGAGTTTTGAACAATATATACAACTGGGTAACCACTACCACCACGGTCAAGACTTAGAACTTCCATCCCCCTAAAATGTTCTCTAGTGCCCCATTTTAGTCAGTCTCTGACCCCAACCCCAGGCAACTCCTGATCCGCTTTCTGTCATGATAGATTGCATTTTCGATTTTTAGTATATCATAAATAAAATCATGAGTGTAATTTCTTTTAGTGTAACTTCTTTTGTTTAGTGTTATGTTTTTGGAATTTATCCCTGTTGTTATATATATCAGTAGTCTGCTCTTTTTTATTATTGCTGAGTAGTATTCCCTACATTGGAATGTTATGTATTACAATTTGTATATCCATTCACATGATGTTAGACATTTAGGTGGTTTCCAGTTTTTGACTATTACAAAACAGTTGCTATGAACATTTATATACAAAGTTTTGTATGGACCTTTATTTTCATTTCTTGTGGATCAATACCTAGGAGTGGAATTGCTGGGTCGTATGGCAAGTTTCTTTAACATAATGAGAAAATGCCAGTTGTTTTCCATAGTGTTTGTATCATTTACATTCCCACAATCAGTGTTGAAGTGTTTCAGTTGTTTCACATCCTTGTCAGCACTTGCTATTGTCAGTCTTTTAAATTTTAGCCACTCTAGTGAGCATATAGCGGTGTAGTAATTTTTTGTGTGTGGTATTATGAGTTTAATTTGTGTTTCTCTGATGACCAATAATGTTGAGAATCTTTTCATATGCTTATTGACCATATGATGAAGTTTCTTGCCCACTTTTTATTATTTGGGGTGTTTGTATTGTTATTTAGTTGTAAGAGTTTGTGTTTTCTGGATTCAGGTTGTTTGTCAGAAATATGTATAACAAATATTTTCTCCAGTTCTGTAGCTTGTCTTTTCATTTCCTTAACTGTGTTTATCAAAATGCAGAAATTATTTGTCTTTTTTTTTCTTTTATGGGACACATTTTTTGTGTCCTAAGAAATCTTTGTTTACCCCATTTTCTCCTAGAAGTTTTATAGTTTTGGCTTTTACATTTAGGTTTATGACCCATTTAAGATTACTTTTTGCTTATAGTGTGAGGTAGAGGTCATTTATTTTTTTCCAAGTGCATATAAAGTTGTTCTAGCACCATTTTCTGAAAAGATTATCTTTTTCCCAATTTCCCTGACACCTCTATCAAAAAAATAGATCATATACATGTGGGTTTATTTCTGGACTCTGTCTTCAGTAGCGTCTATATGTTTATCCTTACACCAATAACATACTCTTAATTACTGTAGCTTTATAATATATATTGAACTCAAACAGTGTAAGTTCTTAAATTTCTTTCTTTTTCAAGATTATTTTGGCTATGCTTGTCCTTTACATTTCTGTGTAAGCTTCAGAATCAGCCTACCAATTTCTACAAAAAAAAAAAGATATTTTGATTGGAATTGCACTGATTGGTTTTGGAAGAACCAATATTTTACTAAAATTGAGTCTTCCAATCCATGAACCTAGTATCTCTCTCCATTTATTTAGGTCTCCTTTAATTTCTATCAGCAATATTTTGTAATATTTAATGTACAAGTCTTGCACATATGTTGATTCATTTATCCCTAAATATTTGTGGGTTTTGATGCTTTTGTAAGTGGTATTTTTTTTAAATTCATTTTCCAATTGTTTCTTGGTAGCATATAGAAATGCACTTATTTTTATCTATTGACCTTGTATCCTATGCCTCTGCTATATTGACTTATTAGTTCTGGTAGCTTTAATATTGACTTTTTACATATACAGTCATGTTGTCTGAAAATAAAGAGTTTTACTTTTCCCTTCCAATCAATGTGATTTTTTTTTCTTGCATTATTGCATTGTCTAGGACTTTCTGTACAATGTTGGATAAAAAGGGTTACAGTGGAGGGGCCGGCCCCGTGACCGAGTGGTTAAAGTTCCGTGTGCTTCGCTTCAGCGGCCCAGGTTCGCAGGTTCAGATTCCAGGCACAGACCTACTCCACTTGTCAGCCATGCTGTGGTGGTGACCCATATACAAAATAGAGGAAGATTGGCACAGATGTTAGCTCAGGGCTAATCTTCCTCAAGTGAAAAAAGAGGAAGATTGGCAATGGATGTTAACTCAGGGCGAATCTTCCTCAGCAAAAAAAAAAATTTTTTTTAAAGTCTTACAGTGGACATCCTTGCCTTCTTCTAGATCTTAGGGGCAGAACATTCAGTCATTTACCATTTAGTATGATAAATAGTTGTAGATTTTTCACAGATGCCTTTTATCAAGTTAAGGAAGTTTCCTTTTATTCCATTTTCTGAGAATTTTTATTATGAATGGGTTTTGAGTTTTGTCAAATGCTTTTCTTTTTGCATCTTTTAACATGATTGTATTGTTTTCCCTTTTATTTTGATAATATGGTGATTATATCAATTACTTTTTTGAATGTTATATCAATTTTTCATTCCATTTGATTTCATAAATCCTACTTGGTCATGATGTATCATCTATTTTATGTAATGCTGGATTCAACTTGCTAATATTTTGTTAAGTATTTTTACATTTGTCTTCATAGGTGGTTTTGTAGTTTTCTCACAATGTTTTTGTATGGTTTTGGTATTAGGGTAATCCTTGCCTTATATTTTCTGGAAGAATTTGTGAAGAACAAGTACTGGTTCCTCTGTAAATGCTCGCTGGAATTTCATCAATGAAGCCATCTAGGCCTGGAGTTTTCTTTTTGGGAAGATTTTTAACTATGAGTTTAATGTCTTTACTTGTTGTAAGACTATTTAGGCTTTCTATTTATTTTTGATTTGGGTTTGCAAATTAGTGTCCTTGAGGAAATTTATCCATTTTATCTAATTTGTCAAATGTATTGGCATACTGGTTTTCATATTTCCTTATATCCTTTTTCTATCTGTATGATCTGTAGTGATATACTTTATGTCATTCCTGATGTTAGTAATTTATATCTTTTCTGTTTTTTCTTCTATTAGTGAAGTTGGAGGTTTACCAATTTTATTGACCTTTTCAAGTAAACAGTTTTGGATGTAATTAAATTTATCTCCTGTTCATTTGCTTACTGTTTCACTAATTTCTGCTCGTATTTATTATTTCTTTCTACTTTGTTTTTAACTTACTCTTTTTATACTTCTTACAGTGGGACTTCAGATGATTGACTTGAGATTGTTTTTCTTTTTAAATATAAACATTTAATACTATAAATTTTCGTCTGCATTTTGGCTACATTCCACAGATTTTCATATGTTGTTTGTTCATTTTCATTCAGTTCAAAATATTTTCTAATTTCCATTCTGATTTCTTCTTTTCTCCATGTGTTTTTTTAAGAATGGTTTTTAAATTTCCAAATATTTATAAATTTTCCAGATATCTTTCTTATTGATTTCTTATTTCTGTTTTATCGTGGTCATACAGTGTATGATTTCAGTTATTTTAAATTTGTTGAGATGTGTTATGGCTCAGCATTCAGGCTGTCTAGTGAATGCTCTATGCTGTTGAAAAGAATGTATATTCTGTTTTTGTTGGGTGGAATGTTCTATAAATGTCAATTAGGTCAAGTTGGTTGATAGTGTTGTTCAGTTTTTTTGTATCCTCAATGATTTCTTCCTGTCAGTCGCTGAGAGAGGGGTGTTGTGATCTCCAACTACAATTGTGAATGTGTCTGTTTCTCCTTTCAGTGTTGTCAATTTTTGCTTCATTTTATCCTGAAGCTCTGTTATTAAGTGTATACACTTTATGATTGTTTTTTTTTTGGTTGATTGACCCCTTTGTCATTATGAAATGTCCCTCTTTATCCCCAGGAAATATTTCTTGTTCTGAAGTCTATTTTTCCCAATATTATTATAGCCACTTCTGCTTTCTTATGATTAGTGTTTGTATGTATTTATTGTCCATCCTTTAATTTTATCCTGTGTCTTTATATTTAAGTTGGATTCATTGTAGATAGTATATAGTTGGGTCTTGCTTTTTTATTTAGTCTGACAATCTCTGCCTTTTAATTGGAGTGTTTGTGCCATTTACATTTAACTTCTTATCAATAATCTTAGGCTTATTTCTACTACCTTGTTATTTTCTATTTTTCCAATCTGTTTTTGTTCATTTTCCTCTCTTTTCCTGCCTTCTTTTTGATTTTTAAATATCTTATTAATCTCCACTAATGGCTTATTAGGTGTATCTTCTTATGTATATCTATTTTATTTTCTTAGTGGCTGCTGTGGAGTTTACAATATGCATCTTTAACTTATGGGAGCCCACTTTCAAATAACATTATAGCACTTCACGTATAATTACAACAGTATACTTCCATTTTACCCTCTGCCTATTTTGCTATTATCGTCATGCATTTTACTGCTACATGTGTTATAAATCCTAAAATATGTTGTTTTTAGATT